TTTTTCGGTTGAACACTCCCGTTTGTAGTAAACTGCTTGACTGTACAGTGAAATGAAGTACGTGATCGAATTTTTTCCGGAAAACGCTGAGCGTAGATATTAACAGCATCATCAAGATTCCTGGCTGCTTCTCCATAAATCAAAGCCATTTCTATTTTTTCTTCTACTGTTAAAAAATCCATTATGAATAACTGCTTAACGAAATAAGGTCTTTTTGTTTGCAAATTAATCTTCGAACTAAATTGATTAAATAATGCTAAACTATGTATAAAGAGTTTCTTTATACCTTAATAATAATTATTATACCATTTTTTTATACCTGAATTAGAATTAAATTAATTAATTGACAAAATAATGTTTTTTTAACATTAAAAGAGGTATTTTTATTAAAAATAGTACAATAATCCTTTAAATTAAAGGATTTAATGCTGGCAGGTAAAAAGTGACCATTGTGCGCAATTGATAATTATCACCGAATGAAATAATGTAAACCAAAGGAAACTTAAATATTAGTTTGTATTTAAAAAAATCAGATTTAATTTAATAAGATAAAAAAGTGATATTTTTATAGAAAAATTATTGTAGAATCGTATACAGAAGAAAAATCGAACAAAATTGATTTTTTTTATTACAGCGCCATTTATTACAAAAACGAAAAAATGTTTTAGACAAAATCTACCTATTTTTACCCATTGTAAATTTTAAAGTTACCCCCTGTTTCCCCTATAAGGAGGAAAGTATGAGGACCAATTTTAGTACTGATTGATTTCCCCCCTCGAATTATTTAATTTTTATTTTAAACATTTTTTCGTAAAATGCAAACTAACTGAGATATTTTAAAGTTTCAAGTTAAATAACTCACCCTGTATATAAATATATTCTTTTTTTACAAATAAATTTATAAAGTGCTTAAGTTAAGTTCAATAATCGTTTTTTGTTTCAAAATTGCTTATTTTGTAAACAAGAAATGTTTAATAGAAATAATAAAAAAATATAAATATCTTTTTAAGTAAGTATGTGAGTTTTAAAGGGGATAGAATAAATTTTCCCATTCAATAGTCTGATGGGTTTGTTTTAAGGTTGCGCATGAAAAAACGCCACAGTCTGATGGTCACGGAATGTGGTTAAAGTATGATTTATTTATTAATTTGTTTATCAGCGTTAATTTTATTGATGTAAATTACGTGTTATGTAATTTAAGTTGAACAAAAAAATAGATTACACACCAAAAATTAAATTTGGTAAAAGCTATATGACATAAAAAATTATTACTTTTGTCCCAAAAGTACCGAAAAACCAAGTGGAAAATGTTTATAACATTTTTTTATATTGGGACAACTGTTATTTTATTTAAATCTGGTTAAAATATTATTAGGATCTGTCAAATGGTTGGCTAGTTATTCTTATTTAAGTTCGTTTTAATTTTTCTTAACCATGAAATAAAATTGTGGCACAAACCTTGTATTAAATTTTGTGTGTTAAAATGCTTAGAATGTTTCAGAAAGCACTTGAGATTATTGTATATCCAGTTAATGTGGTCATCCACAACGTAGAATAAGTGAATAAAATCCTCATATGGGTGTGAGAAAGATTAAAATCTGCTTGACTCATGCCATAAGGGTTGAATTTTCTCCAGCATTCAACCAAATTGCTCCGCTGGCTCCATACTCGCCAGACATAGTACCATGCGACTTTTTCCGAGCTGAAATCGCCGCTCTGTTTTAAGACACAAAAATGTGTCGTGAGTATTGTGATGCGCATGAGAATGCTTAGAAAATGCAAGTCCTTTAGCATGTGTGCGTGTTAGTCTAATGTTAATATTTGTTTAGTTTCTACTTCTGTTCAGTCTGACGTAAAATTAATTACTAATATTGTTGGTTGTTATGGCAATTTGTATACCTTGTAATAATGAAGGAACAATTTTTTAATAATTTTCTGAAATTCCTGGGGGACCCCAACTTAAAGGTGGTGCGCGACTTTTGGAATAAAGGTATTTAACAAAGGAATTTTTACTGATTATTATTGCATCAATTAACTTTTATAAAAACGGTCAAGTACAAATTAACAATATAAACTAAGGATTTATATCCATAAAAGGTGTAATTTTAATTACTTTAATTAATTTAAATTTTTAAAATCTTAGTTTAACCAAAAATAGGTTAAAAACCTCGCTTGAATTATTTTGCAAGTCTACTACATTCCAGACGTACAATTAAAAATTACGCATCACGGAATGTGTTCTTCAACGCAATATTAAATCCGGTTTTAATAAAACCACCCAGATTAATTACTTATTCATAATTTTTTACATCATTGGGTTTGTAATATCCTTGGATTTCATTATCATTCATTTTAATATCGTGAATATTTATAATTTTCATTAACAATCAGATAAAGTGTGAGGATATAATTTGTTCATTAATTTATTGTAATTGGGTAAAAACATTTATTTGTTTAAATTTGTTTTAATTAAATCGTAATTTTGGTAGCGCATAACAATTTTCATGTTATAACACTTATAAGCATTTACACCCTGTAGACATTTTAAGCATTTAATTTAAAAAGCTAAAAATTAAAGGGTTTTAATTATTCTTAAACAATTTGTTTATTTATGCTTTTTTAGTTTATTATACTTTTGCTAGAATTATTTTGTGTTTTCAGTTTTTTCTAATGTTTAATTAAGATAAATTGAAATAAATAATTTTAAAAATTATTTTGCGTATTTTTCAAAAATTAAACTATTGAGAAAGAAATGTTTGATGTTTTGTTTGATATCTTTTTCAGGTCCAGACTTATAATAGAGCATTGCTCGTTTTTACATAGACACCCTGTATAATAATATAATAATAATAATTCATTGAAATTACATAGAAAGAGTGGTTACATCTAATGTATTTAGCTGAAATCAGTGTAGGTAACTGTAAAATTACAGGTCACTGTATAATAAATTCATGCAAAATAACCTTTAATGTCAAACGTCAACATTATCTACATAGCAGCGAACACTGAGCTCGGCTATAATATAAGCGCCAAACCGATGGGTAAAATCGCCAAAAAAATACAAATTTTAAAATATTTATCTGTAATTATTTTTGTTTGAGCACATATTAAAAATCAGCGAGGCATTTCAATCACATAACTTAATTAAAATTGAAATTTCACTGAACAGACACTGTCCATAGGTCTATTAAAATTGTTTTAAAATACATTTTTATTTTAGTAGCACTGTTACCATGTATTACAATAACAATAAAAGTTATACAATAGATTATAGAAGGCACTGGCAATTTCGTATTCTAGCCCGGAGCCAAGCTTAGACCAAATTTGGTTGCTAGACAATTGCGTTATTGGTAATTTTGATTATGTTTGTATTTAAATAAGTTTAAAGGAATTTCAACATTCAATGATTTTCTTTATACGGCTTTAACATAGAATATGTAGAGATAAAATTAAACATATATTTTAGGTTCATTTCAACAGAAATGTGATCTGCTTTTGGTTCTGCACCATTCAGTTTTTAATAAAACTTTAGGTATTTTATCGGTTTAAATTAGTTTTCAAGAAAAAAGTTCAAATTGTCATTGGTTAATGATTAACAATGAAAGGGTGTAACAAGATATGTCAAGACTTTTGAAACAGAAGCAAAAAAAGTCCTTAAAATGGGTTGCAATATTTTGGGCCAAATTTTTCAGTTCTGGAAAAATTAAAATGTCACAGGGGGTCAAATCTGGAGAATACGGAGGATGCAGCATCAATTCACAGCCAAATTCTTTGATTTTTTTCAATGGTTATAGCGGCTTTGTTAGCTGGGGAATTGTCTTGGTGAAATATGATTTTTGTCTTTGGCAAATGTCTTTTAGGTGTAAATATTTAGGAAAAATCGTAAAAGTTGAGATGCCTACAGCCAAAGCAATCTCACACATTAAACCTTTGATCTTCCAATAGGATTTTGCGGACTTTTGGGATGATTCCTGGTATGTTCATTTTTAGAACTACTATGACGGAATTTTATGAAAATTCCAAGGACATCAATATGCCCTTGTATTTACTAAAATAATATTAGATGGAAACATTGCATACCAAATTTCCAATAGATTGTATATCAGATTATCCATATATCGGATTATCTAAATAAATGTGTTGTTTCATAGTACCTATTCAAGTAAAAAAAAGTTCAATTAATTATTTTTATTATTTTTCTTTCTTTTATGTGCTGTTGGTCTTTTAGTTTTGGACTTAGTAGCCTACTAATAGTAGGACCAAGATTTGCTTTTCAAACACTATCATTTATTTTATGTTTCTAAATCAGTTTCTTATGTTATGATCATATAGTTTTTAAAGATGTATTGTAGGACCTTATAAAGGTTAAAGCCTAATCAGGACAAGATTTAGCTCTAGAATTTAAGCATTTCCTTTTTAAATCAATATGAAGAAAAATAAGAAGAGTAATAGTAGATAGACAGTTTTCTTTTCCAAAATAATGTAAATACTTTATTATGTAGTAAATAATACGCTTTTATAAAATTCTTTAACTAAAAAAGGTAACTCCAAAAATGCTGTCTATAAATTTAGATCCTTATCTAAGATTTCCATTTTAATAATTTATTAATAATAAAAGACCTGATTAGGTTCGAAATTCATTATAATTTCATTATAAACTACAAAATCATCCACTTATTTCCATAAATTATCATGCGAATGATGGGCGCCAATCTAAATAAATGTGGAATAATAATAATAATAATGTATTTTTATTATGCAGTTTTGTGTCAACATTAAGAAACCGCATTAAATTTTGATGCACGCGTGTATCTGACCTGAATCGAGTTCAGTTTTATTTTATTTCATTTTACAAAATGATTGTTATGAATACGATTATGTTTCTTATAGGAATGCCTTGATTTTACTTAAGTTAAGTATGGTTGGACCGATTTTAAGTGACTTAAGTCATGTTAGGTACTTAAGTTTGAGTTGGTTAAGAGTAGTTTGCGCGTACCCACCATGTGTTAAAATAAAAATCCAATGGTTGATGCAGCTTAGGGTCCATGGTAAAGTATCCTTTGGTCACAAGAAATAGAATGAGAACTAGAAACGAAACACTTGGCACTGCACTGGCACCACGTAAATTCAGTCCACGTGTTTTCGGAAAAGAATAGACTCTACGTTCTTGTATATACCGGCGTTGTGTCTTAACTAAATTCCCTTATTTTAACTCTGAGCGGTCAGGTATAATCTGAGGCAAAACATCGCTGGAATGCGCCCGACCAAACAAATACTCCGAGTGAAAAGCAGTAAAAAGCCACTTTACCTGCACTTGTTTGCTGTGCGATTGACGGGTACAGTCGCCAGCATAAACTTACTGGATGCCTTTACAATGCAAGCGTGCTGCTGGTGTAGTAATTTGATCGAAGCGACTGTACGAAACTCAGGTGTGTTTAATACCCGTTTGGAGGTTACATTCCATCAGTAATGCGGCATTCCTCGGGGAGAAATTCTACGTAGCCTCCTCGAGGGTACCCGACTCGAAGCATATTGTTGCAATAGTGATTTCGAACTTATTATGCATGTTTTGCCTTAAATATGCACGAGAGAGGCTAGTTGTAGGCATTGCAAAAGTGTTGTGTGCGATATGCAAAGATGTACAGGGCAATATTTGTTTATTTATGACCCAGATTGGGTCAGGCATTTAAAATTTAAACTTTCTTTGTATAAAGGTCAGGATTTTTTATTATCTATTCATTAATAATTTATATTGTCAAAGTAGTTTTTATCCAATTTACGTTTTTAAACGACTTATATGGCTTTATAGAATGGTTATAGGTACCGATCATAATATTGTATATTATAATATGTATAAATATAAAATTACATTATTCATTAATATTCTATATCGGTTATTGTTTTTTAAAACATTTATCAATGAAACTTTATTTTATTTAGTTTTTTTACTAATTTTGGGTGTTAACTAGATTTCCCACAGACCACTGGGATTTCCCATATATCGAGTTAGATATATATATATATATATTAAAACTAAAGTTTAGACATTTTTTTAGGTATTATATTAATATAACTATCATAAATATAATAAAAGTAGGTAATATAATTTAATAATTTATTGGTAGTTATAGGTACCTATATTTTAGTTATTCTTCTCTTTTGACAATTTAAACAAAACTAAGACTTATTTTAGATTTATAATTTTGTAAAATGATATTTTTATAAATAATTAACATAATTTTTTAAAGTGAAGGGTATGTAATGTGGACCTATAGATTGATGTGAAAATGTACTAAATGAACTGAAAAGAACCATTTTAAAATGAAATAGTCAAATTCAACTATTTGAATTAGTACCAGCATTGTTTACTAATAAAATATTCGTTTTTACTTTTACTTAAATAGTTTAAGTTTGACTAATTTAAGATAAGTCACCATTTTTGACCATTTCTAAGAGTAAAAGTAACTAATTTCTTTAATCGTTTTTAATTCTTCAGGACAACAACAAATTATTGTTAGCGTTAAATGCATGTAGCCTCCATGGTTGATTGATGGCCCATAAAAACAAACAAAGATACAAAAAGTTTAGCTTCAAACAGCAAAACAAAAAAGATATTCAACTTTAAAATATTATTAAGATATAACTAAGTTTTTATAAAAGTAGCAGTGGCGCAGCGATTAGACATCCGCTTGAAAAGTGAGAGACTCTAGTTCAAATCCCGGCAGGGTCAAAACTTTTTTAAATTTAAATTCACTAATTTGACTATTTAATTCGGTAGAATTTGTGACTCTTAGTCAAATATGACTTATAATAATTTTAAATATAAAATATACTTACAGAATCCCAGGAAATTCCAGACTCGCTATCTCCAGTATCTCAAGATCTAAAAGAATATTCAGCTGGCTAAATCTCGGAAGGAAATAGCCATTATACAGCAGAAGAAGAAAAAAATTTATCGTTATTTACAATAACTTTAAATATATAGGGTGTCCAAAATCTAAACAAACAAATGGGATGAATTTGTATTTAAACAAAATCTATTCAAAAATGATTTATTTTATTTAAGAAATACTTTTTCCTTTTTACAAAATACAACGTACACTGAAAAAAATTATTACATTTAAATGTAAAGTTACAGGATTATTACCATATAAATTCCTAATTTTTACGACAAATTGTAAAATTACCTTTATTTTCGTCTAATTTTTATATATTTTAAGTAAATAAACATTTTTGTTTGTAAAATTACTAATATTATGTATTAATTATTGATACAACAAGTAAATTTAACGAACTAAATGTAAAAAATACAATTATAACGTCTTACTGCATTATTTCAAATGTAAATATACTTTATTAGTCTTAATATTACAGGTTTAAATGTTTTTTTACATTCGGAGTGTAGTAAAAATCGCAAAATTACATTTCATATGTAACCGGAGAAGAAGCCTATTGGCTGGGAATTCGCGCATACCTGCCCACGCATCGGCATGTTAATGTTATCATGTATAAATACATTTCAAATAAAAAACATATTACATTAAAAATGTTATTTTACATAAAAAATATAAATGAGTTACACGTCAATTATGCTATTACATTTTACATGTAAAATAATAATGAATTGGAATATTTCAGTTATCAACAAGGCATCAAAATAACCAATCTCCATTACCGGAAATTTACATAATTTTTTTTTTCAGTGTAGGTTATGTGACATTTCATTTGAAGCTGATTATATGTAACTCACAATGTAACTACTTATTTTTCCGATTGTACAGGGTGGAACAAAAAAGTTGTCACACACAAACAACGTCATTTTTTAATTTTTCAAAAAAATGTTTTGCTAAAAAGTAGTCTGTAATGACATACCTAATAAGTAAGTTATACTAAAAGTTAAAAGTTCTAAATGGAGTAATTCAAAAATAACACGTTTTAAATGTAAATCTATGTTGCTAATTTCTTACAAACCCTGTAGTATAGAATCTGAAAAATAAAAAGTGTGTTATGATCAGCTTGCAAGGACCTTTTTACTTATGTGTTTCCATTGAAACAAAACGTGACGCCATTTTAAAATAAAAAAGTAGTATTTAATGTCTTTTTTTAATATATCCAAATTTGTAGTTGACAGGTGCAAAACAGTTTTACCTAGGTTTTTACAGTTTTTATAAAAACTGTAAATTAGTTTTTTAACTTCTGAATTAATGAATTTTATTCTTAAAGAAAAAAAATTACATTTTTCCAAATAATGTATTCAAATGAACCAAAATGAACCAGAATAATACTTTTATATACCTATAATAACAATAATAATAAAACAAAAACTATGAATATTCTAATTTTAATGGTTTGTTTTAATTAATTATTTAAAAAAACAAATTATATATATAAATATAGTATATAAAAACTTTCCTTTGCACACCTGTTGCTAAATAAAATATATGAATTATTAAATATTATTTGGATTTTTATGAAAAATAATTAATTTATATTTTTGAATTAAAATAGTAGCTGCGTAGACAGATAATTAGGTACAAATTGTACCTCACAATTGATTTATAAAAATAGTATTTTTTTATACGTGACCAATGCTACCTATTGCCCTCAAGTCCACTGTTCGCTTACTTTAGAAAATAAAATTGTACCTATAAACATTTATTGGAACTCTCATCATAAAAATATTTAAATGGGTGTTTATAATAACAGTTACTGTTACACGTGCGAAATATAATTGTAAATCTACAGCATATTATACATTGTGGTGAAAGATAAAAAGATATCTAGCATTTCAATGGAAAAATAATTCATGCTACGTTTTATATGACAGTAAAAGTTTATTTTTAAAGGCATTTTAAAAGTACAGGTTTTCGTTTGATAAAAGATTTCATTAAAAAAAGTTTTTTAAACCATTTTGTTTTGGCTTTATATAAATTTTATCAGAAACAAACCGTAAAAAAATATTTTTTAAGATAAAGTAGTCATTTTGAAAATACAATTTATGTTTAATACCTATACGAAGTAAAAAAATTACACCATAAATAAAATTATATTTATGATGTCCCAAAAAAAAGTAAAAAAATAGTTTTTGTTAAAATAATGTTTTGATTTTTTACTTACCAAACATTTGGCAACCATGTCATCCTTAGCTGCCTTATTCTAATTGTTTCATAACAACAATTTTTAGATGTGTCATATTTTGTCTTGTAATTGTTTTATACGCTAGTGCAAGATGATTTTAAGAAGAGCTAGCAATGTATCAACTTTTGACTTCCAATTGGCTTTCAAGGGGACACCCTACAGATTCTAAATCAAAAAAAAAAATTCCCGTTGGAACTACCCCATTTGATTAAATATTTATTTAAAAACCGAGTGGGCCACCTCAAGATGTTGAGTAAAAATTTTTTTTTTAATTTTCTTTTTTTATGCGGTACAAATTCTACCCCTAGGCTAAGAAAAAAGAACAAAAATTTTTTACATTGTATAGCTATTTACTTTTTGTCGCCTTTAGTATTTAATACCATTAGTAAAATTCGTAAGCCTCAGGTATCCAATTATAAAATGTTGATTACAATTAACGGTATCCCTAGAATACCTACTATGTTAATTTTTACAAGTAAATTAAAAAACCCATTTGTTCCTAATTTATTTTAACAGTGTTTAAATTGGCTATTTTAAATTATGTATAATCATTTAAAAGCAACTGGATTGTTAATGTTTTGTTATTTTTTTTTCACCTTTATATCAATTTTCTATAGTAGCACTTTTAGTAAAATTTTTCCACCGTTACTTTTTTTTGTTATGTTCTAAAATACAATGTATAATTTATTTGTACTGTGTAATTTTGCAAATGCTTCTTGTACATTTACTAGAAAACTTTTTTAATCTGCCAGTGCCAGATTTAATTTGAGATACTTTGTTTTATTTTTTGGTAAGTAAAGAACATATTTAAGTTAAGTTTTGTTTTTCTAAAATAGTATAATAAATTATTATGTATTAAGTTTGATAATACTTTAAAGCCAATTTTATTTGTTCAAGATTTGACATCAGATTCTGACAACTGTGAGACGAATTTAAATCCACTGTTGCTAACTTCAGCCCATGACTAAAATGTCATAAAGTTACAGCTTGTCATTGAGGAAGTAGGTAATAGTATATTATGTACCAAGTTTGACAACCGTAATTTTAGTCACGAATTTTAATCAGGCACAAGCGAGCTTGCGAGCGATTGTTTAATTAAATGAGTGTCTAGAAAAGTTTATAAACAAGTTGCATTCTACGATAAATACTTATTATTAAATCCGATATAGAAGCAGTTTTTCTCCACCCGAAATTTTTGAAGTTAAATCTAGTACTATGTTCATATAGACTTTTTAAATATTGGCGTTGAGAAACTATTTAATACTTTTGTATTTTTGTATTGGGATAATAAAATTATTTTCACATTTAGTATCATTTTACAAGAAGGGTACTTTATTTTAACGATTGTATGACATTTGATAACTGTCAACTAACTTCATCCCGTGACTAAAAACCTGTTCCTAAAATACCATAAAGCCACAACTTGTCAATGTGCATTTAAAAGGTCACTTAGTGTCATGATAACATGTCCGATTATTATTTTTAATTTATATTATACAGAGTCCTTAAATATACAATTAATAAATTAACTGTTGAGGGCCTTTCAATAAATTGGGTATAAGTGCAGCCTAATAAAAAATGCCTTATCTACAATATTAAGTAAAAGATAATTTTTATTTTTTAAAACTTGTTAAAAATAATACAAATAACTTTTTATTCCAAGGCCCTCAATTTATTGTCAAAAATTGACAAAAATTGCTAAATCAATTATTTTCAAAAGCTTACCTACTAAAAAAACGCCAACAATGGGGGTAGACAATATTTTTGGTAGCTAGCACTTACTTTAATTCCGAAAAAAAAAACAATACCTTTAGAAATAATTATTTTCTTTCGAGATCTTGTTACTTTTGCGCCCACCTGTACAAACCAAGAACTTAATACGTGTGCCTTTTAAACTTGTTGTGTTTATAGAGTACACAAACCAATAAATTATAGCAAAAATCCCAAAAAAACGATCGACTACCTACCTGCTTACGCTTTAATAATAAATCAAAGTTGTTTTTTTGCATGTTTTGATGAAAATTCAAAACATCTCAAACATAATTAACTACCAAATAGGCGAACGGTTTCCAAGAAGTGTATTAGAATTTAAATTCCTACTATAAAACGTAATTTATCTGAGGTTTCTAATAAAGTTTGACTCGCCCGGTATTCCATGCTTCAAGCAGGTAAGAAAAAGTAAACGGGTACCTACATAAATTAAACATTGTTTCTAGAACCGGTGCGACCTCTACTGCAATAACTGGTAGTTAAAATAATGTATACTACAGAGCACTACACTATAATATACCAGTATTATACCGGTTAAATTTATTATTTATGGATTTTTAAAAAATATATTGGTTTGTTGTTAAGGTTCCAGCTAAATTACGAGAATTATACAGCTCTGAAGTAACACTTTTTAAAATATTTGTTTGCTTTAAATTTAAACCTTTAAAAAAGATTTAAAGAATATGGACACAATTTTTGAATTTTGACCTTTCTTTGGACTAGTACCTAAATATTTTGTCTCCACCACAATCCACACATTGTGGTCTCCACAAGTTTTTTTTATGATCTAAATTTTGTTGGAATTGGATAACATTTAGAGGTCGCCTAAAATTATTTAGGAAAAATAATTATGTATTTAAAACTCTTAAATCAAAAACTACGACTTAAGGTTTCGATTATTTGCGACTAGGTGAAGATTAAAATGCATTTGTTCTTCGCCCTTGGCCAGTAAGTGTTTGTATTTTTAAATAAGACTGATTTCCCGTTTCATCAGAGAAGGGTTGATCTTACCACACTTTTCAAAAAATCTTTTTTTTTTAGTCTTTATTGATCAAAGGGCGAAGTTCAGCATTAGGTGTTCTACTACTTAACCTTTTGGCATTTTCCTCTTAAGTCAACTTAAACTATAATTAACCAGTTTAAGTTTATTTTAACTCTATATATTTATAATTTACCAAATATGGTTATGTATATCTATAGATATATGACAGATCCTTAAAATAAAATGTCGCCTCTGAATATTAATACTCATATAATATTATGTATCAATTGATATCTTCAAGATATAGTTTTAAGGGGAAAACCAATGTACCTAATATTTTTTTTATGAATTACATAATATTTTCATATTTTAAATGCGCTTTGAAAAAAATAAGAAATAACGAAAACGTCTATTTTTTCTTTATTTCGTTTAAAATTGATTTAAAATAATTTTAAACATAAAATAATATTATGTTTTATTATTGGTTTTAATTTTCCTATTTTTGAAATAATACAAATTATTATTATTATTAAAATTAATGGCATTTCCTTTTGTTAGAATGGACAGCAAACAATATAGTGATTTTAAAATGCTTTTACTTATTGGTTATATAACCAATATAAATTAACCTGTTTATTTAAACCATTTGGTTATTTTATTGTGTTTAATTTAACTATTTACTTTATTTACCTATCGGTAATTTATAACTCTTTGGTTTGTGTTTAAATTCGTTTAATGTAACACATTATAGACTATAATTTATAGTTAATAATTACCAAAATAAGTTAAACTAAACTAACTTTAAAATATATTTATATATGCAGGTAACAATGAAAACTACAAAACTATATATCAATTTTTCAACAAGTTTTTAACTTATAAGTAATATTACTAACTAGTTATATATTTGGTTTATTTATAGTCTTTTAAACTCTTTAAATAACCTTTTTCTTTTATAACTTAATTTATACTAAAAAATAACCTTTGAATTTACCTTTAGGTTATAGCAACCGCTTGGTAAATTTTTTAGTTCATAGTATCCTTAAAAGAATGTTAATGGTTGGATAGAACTAATTGGTTAAAAATCAAGTTTAAAAAAACGTTATTTGACTTCTTTGGTAAATTTACTTAGAATGCTAGTTATTTAACCAGTTAACTAGACGAAAATTGTGAACCTTTAATTTTCCTATACACCCTTCTTTTGAGGCCTTGACTGGGCCTTTTACCTATTATTGTTTAATTATTTGGCCATTATATCATAACTGTTATAGTTATGTACATGTTAAGTACATGTACTTAACTTTGTGTACAGGTAATCCATTTATTTTAAAAAATAACAAAAGGTTATACTCAGATTAACATAGATAGTGATATTTTCTTTATTTGCTTTGCAGGAATTCCAAATTGGCCTGTGGTTCCCATAAATTGGGTTCCAACTGTTTAGCCGTCGTCAAATAGACCCTCGCCAAATTAGTTCGTCCCATTTTGTGATGAAAAATAGCGAGGTTGTTAAACGCAGAGGCATGCGAAGGATCCGACGACAAACACAAGCTGAGACACTGAATCGCCAACTCGATATCGCCGGCAGCCTGAAAACGTTAAAGGTGCAACCGAATTTGCATTTTTAATGTATCGAGTTATTTCTTACGACTGCCACGTGCGACAAATTGTACCAAACTTCTGCTTTGACTATCGGGTCCGTTGCCAGGTCTAGAGCTCTTTGGAAACATGCTAAAGTCAGATCTAGTTGCTGGGAGAATAAACAACATAACCCCAAATTGTTGTACAGCTCTGAGGAGTGAGCTCCCATTGCCAGAACTCTCCTGAAATAGTTAAAATAAATAATGAGAATTTAGCACAACAACCAAAAACTGTTCAGTGAGATACATGGACGAAGGTATCTTACAATAGTGCACTAGCATGCTCTTAAAATTTATAGGAAACAACATCATTTGTTACCTGTAGTATCTTAAGGCCAATTCTGGTTGGTTATTGTAAAAATGGTACATTCCTATGCAGGCTATAGCTTCTGAATTCATGGCATCTTCCACAACAATGTTTCTATAAAACTTTACAGATGTGGCAGTATCGTTAAGCGCTTCGTATATTCTGGATAACTCTGTCATTATGGATACATCAGAATTAAAAATTTCTAGTCCAGATTTGCAGATTTCTGTTGCTGACAAAGGCTGATCTAAAGAAAGAAAAAATGTTTTAAACTATGGGAAACATGTTCAAAACACATCTTACCTAATCTGAGATAGATTCTAGCCAATCTCATGAAGTTCTCGACATGATGGTGTTGCTTCAAAGCACTTCTCAGCTGCTGCTCAGCTTCCCTGATCAAATTCAACGAAATATAACATTTAGCCAGCTGCACCTTCCACCACCAATCCTTAAACTCGAAAAATTGAGTCGCCTGCACAGCCAACTCCATGGCACTCCTGACATCGCCTTCATGATTAAACAAATACTCGAACAACGCCTTATTCAAACATTTATTTTTCGCGTACTTTGCTACGTTTAATCTGGATACTTGTATAAACGGTCCGTCTTTTTGGGTCAACATTGCGGCGGTTCCGAGTCGTATAGTCCTTGCTGATTGGTTAGTGGCTGGTCTGGCAGTTCTGAGACGATCCATGGCCGATCCTGGTCTTGCGTTTGTTCCAGGCCTCGCCACCCCTGATATGGGACGACCAGTGGCTGTACGAGGACGAGTACTAGAAGTAAATATATTGTAAATTATTATAAAAACATGGTAATTATCGAAATATTTGTAGTGTACCCTAATCCTGAAGCTGTTGGTGCCACCGCCGTTTTCATGGATGTTCCAGGTCGCGGAGCAGAAGCCAAAACATTTTCGTCCAAGAAATCGTTGTCCATTTGTTGCTCACTTTCCATGTCGTCCACGTAGACACGTTGGGTCATGGCTCGCATTTTTAGACACCATGCTGCTTGATCAAGTGGTTGTTTATCCAAAATACTCGTACAAATATCTATGCACTTATCGAAGCGTCTTCTTCTAAATAGGCTTAGTGCTAAAAACATTGGATCCATGTTCCTAAAATTGTAGTATAGTTTATTAATTGTTTACAAGATATAGGAAACGCCTGGTCACTAAGATAAGTTAAATGCATTTGAAATTTAAGGTACATAATTAGTTCTCATTAAAGTTAAATATCAGGAAATAATTGATGCTATATACTTACATGATCATGATATACTTACATTTGTTAAAGCTTAATAACACAACTACTAAAAATATAAGGTTAGAAAGATTTGTTTGTATGTTTGTATTCTGTCTCCAGGATATAGTTCAACTCGCCATTATTTCTATGCTCGATAAAGGGGTTTGAAACACCTGTTGATTCAACAGTGTGAATTCTTTAAAAATTTGTATTTGTTATGCTTTTCACAAATATTTTACCGAAAGTTTTGTAAAGGTAATATGCAATTTTGTAAGCAATTTGTTAATTTCAAAGGTTACAGATTATTTTGTTAATGTTTAACAAATTATTTCGTTAAAAAAATACACGTGATTTCAGGCAGTAAATCAAAACATTTCCCACTGACAATAGCCATTAACAAGTTCAACTGACTTCAGAGTCTGCAACTTATGTTTCTGCTTATTTTATTCTAATTCGTAACGTGTTCGTAACAACTGTCTGTTATTATTGTTGTATTGTACCAAATTTCTTTATAATTTGATGATTTCAGAGTGGTGAGTTATTTAATTGTGTGTATATTATTTTTTTGTTTATTTATGTAGGTATGTGTTATTTTTTTTAATTTAGAAAATTGATTAATAAAGCAGCATTTCTAATCAAAATTCATTTCATTTAAGTTTCAACAAATACTTTTGTTACTGGATCTACCAAAAGGTTTGTAAAAATAAGGTCTTTTTTAAAAATTATAAAAATTATGGTTGAATTATTGATGTAGGATTTAGTTAAATCTACAAAACTATAACTTAAAAACTACTTATAACAGAGCAAACTACTAAATTTTGGGGTTTAATTTTGGAATGTCCCAATTAACGCCCTTAAGGGTTGGTAAATTTGGTGACGATACGTGAGGTGCAGATTTATAATCTGGACCAGAAAACAGGGGGGTTACTCTCTAAAAATGAATAAGTCAAAAATGACTAATTTAACAGTTATTTTATTAGTGGCTGCCTTTTCACTTGCACCATGGTTAACCATTGAGTACCATGGTATACCAAAATTTAACAGCCAATTCTTATGTAAAATTGTCCCCTGAATCCGAAAATCTGTCAAAAATTATGAAAGTGGAGCAGTTTTTGAGATAAAGTCAATTCCATATAAAATGGAAAATTGACTATTTCTCAAAGACAGTTCTACTTTTTTAACTTTTGACGACATTTTTGGATTCAGGTGACAATTTTACATAAGAACTGGCTGTTCAATTTTGGGATCATCTAGATTATTTGTTTAGTCTAAAACCTGTTTTTTTTACCAAATAATACTGATAATGATAATAAATTTTATTTTGCACTTTTTGGGTGTCCGTTATTTCCCAAGTTTGCTTTTTTTCATTTGTGTATAGAATTATTTGTTAAAATCTAAAAACAATATTTAAAAAAATTTCGATTTCGTCTAACTCTGCCTAAATGATGATAACTCAGTAATACATATACATTTGGGGGGATCCTGATCCCCTTAGCCCCCCTGGTCCGCGACTGAATGTAACCAATTATCGGTTGGGTAACAATTTTATTAGCCAACTGAACCGCCGAATTTTTGACATTGTCAAAAACTTTATTGAGTTAACATTTAACTTTTTGTTATATTTTGTCTTATTCTTTTTCCATATACATATTTCTTTTATAATATTTTAAATGGCGGTTAGTGAATTATCGCTTGTAAAAGGCACCGATGTCTCCAAAACCCTAGGCACCTCGTTTAATCTGCATCAAATTCTTGAAGAAATTGATATATTGACAATATTGGATACCTTTAATAAAGCAAGTGGCCAATGTCTTAACAGCCAAGCCCTACGAGATTTGTTGTACAAAAAAAATGATATCATCTTTGAGGATTTGGAATACGAATCGATTTTTAACAAGATTGACATTAATAGGTTGGCTTTATTTCTTATAACGTTTTTTGTGTCTGGAAGGTAAGTTATTATTTTAAACAATTTGAGGCTACGCCCAATTGGGCTTTATTGCTTATCATCTTTTTCTAACACAAAAAGCGTTAAACAGAATATAATAATAATATATACATGTATATATATTTTAGTACAGGAACAGTAACATGGGATGACTTCATTTCATTCCTTATTTTGGGTTACGAACAAGCAGCTATTTCCGCTGAATTCAAAAGCTTGGAAAGTCCAATTCCTTGCAAACCAAACATAAAAAAGTCTTTTCACAGACCGTACGTAATAAGGATTTTATTTAATCCAACCCTTTTTCCTGATAGAAGCATAAACTGGTCCGAGGGAAGTTACATGACTCTTAGTAAAGATGGCATTATAAATTATTGGTCTTTGGATATGGAGATTCAAGATACTGTCCAATCGACGAATCCGGATTTGAAAGTAACACAAACATGGGTGACCGATATGGTCGCGATGCCCGATGTGAATGTGGTGTGCACCTCCAGCAGCGAAAGGGACTTGAGGTTTTACGATTCCACGGCCAGAAAATTCCAGTTAAGAATCCGGATAACTTCGTTTAATTACGCAGTAAGCACGATGTATTATTATTACCCAGACTCCAATTTATTACCTTCGAGACTTATCATGGGAGACCTGGGTGGAAATATAATAATGTTTTCCATTGAAACGAAAAATAGAGGTCCTTTTATGGGCATACTGGGGTGTCCTTTGTTGCAGTGCAGGTTTGACCATGTAAGACATGGACATTTCGAAGGATTTCAAACGATTATTTACCCAAAAGTGCACACAGACTTTGTAAGACAAGTTTACTATTACAAATCCTTACACAGTATAGTATCATGTGCTGCTTGTCCTGTAACACCAGTTGCTGTAATTGATTATACGAAAAATCAATACACGCCCAATTTAAAAGCTTATCCGGTACACAAGCTATTTTACAGGGTGTACTAGAATAAATTACACTTTTTAAAGCTACATACGTACTATTCATTTCTCTATTATTCTTGTTAATCTAAAGCAGCTTTAAAGAGTAAAATTGATTCTTGGACACCCATTTTTCACATAACTTACTGGTAGTATTTCAGATTTCGGGAGGGGCTTGGTGCTTTCACGTTCTCGAATCAGTTCACTTAATTGGTACAGGAGGTCCAGACGGCTTGGTACGTGTATGGAACCCATTCATGTCCACTAGACCGACAGCAATATTCTACAGACACCACACAGGCATAATACAGATTACTTTCCAAGACGAAGGCAAACTAATGTACACCCTGTCCAAAGATAAGAACATCAAAGTGTGGGACGTGCAAGCTCAACAAATGATTCAAAATTACATAGATATACCGTCTCCACTTGGCGATAAAGAGTTCGTCACTTTTTATAACCCCAGCAGTAGGCAGTGGATCATTGGTGGAGCTAAGTTGGCCATACTGCCGTTATCACCCAAGATGAGTTCTGAACACACTGACGGTGATACTCATTCCGGTGGGGTGTCTTGTGTCCTTTACAACAACCTATTTAAAGTAACTATTTATACTACCAGACTTTTTCGGGGGTTAATGCACAAGAGGTCAATTTTTAACAGAGTAGAGGATCTTTTTGCCATAAAAATTAGTCGAGAATTAAGGGTATGGACAAATCGCGACACGAAGTGTAGGTTTTAAAAAAATTATAAGGTTAAAAATTGATCTTGAGTTTATTTTGGGAAGATAAATACATGAATAAATAACTAGGATAAAATTAAGAAAAAAACAAATTCGCAAATGTATTAATGTATTAACAATTGTTTTAAATGTTTTGGATTTTGAAACTTGATTGATGGCAGTGTTTTCAAAAATTTGATTTGTGCTTGTAGGATCTCTTTAATTGGAAATTAAATTTAAATGATCTAGAAAGACGGGGGTGTGCGGTGTGCGGGCGGAATATATATGTTTCAGTAGGCGTCAGCCATCATAATCGTGCGAAATAGTAAGATGCCCGTCAGCGCGTTGCCGATGTATTCTGTTTACTTTGTTTTGAGGAAGGTCAGTTAGTCAAAAATCTCGCCGGTAGTCGTGTCGTGGTGCGTGTTATTGTTTTGTGTTATTTTTAAAATGGAGATAAATACTTACCGTAGATTATATAATTACCTTTGTTAATTTAAATATGTTAACATATTGAATGTGCGATAATAGATTAAACGCTTTAGCTATGTGTTCCATTGATAGAAAATTGTTGGCTACTGAAAATTTTAATGAGCACTTTGCGCACGTAAAAGAAATGTGAATTGACTTTATCTATAAACAAATAAACTAAAATAAGTACTTGATTGAAAAATGTTAGATTAAGAAACTGTTACCTACCTAAAAACATTTTGTGAATATAATAATAATATATCGTTAAAATTTCATTTAAATTTTTTTCGAATTTAAAATAATCTGTTGTACATTTGACTGCCTCTCCACCTCTCAAGCAAGTTCAAATGCTGCAACATGGTAAAATTTCTTTTGCAACCCTTCAGGTGGGTCTTTTTTTACAAACCTGTATCATTTCCTTCACATTTTCTTTGTCAAGGGCAAGTGTTTTCGCTTTTTAAATTCCAAATCGGTAAATCTTTTTCCGTATTCTTCAAAATATTTTTGTTGCAATTTTTTGGTAACGTTGTTCAAATTCTGTATTTAAAAAAAGGTTAATGATTAATATTTTTTAGTTGATCGTCACAGTTGGGATCGATAGCATTATCTTAGTATGGGACCCATGGGACGGAAGGAGAATGTTAACCGTCAAAGACGCACACGTAACCATAATGAATGGTTTAGCAATTCCAGTTGAAATAACAGCTGCGTGCTTTTCCCAAAACTATCACTTTTTATTAACAGCTGCGCACGATGGCACCATCAAAATTTGGGACTTTCACAATGGTAAAAGATAAGAGAGAGTAAGAATAAGAAAGGTATTTTATTGTAATTTTGTAGGAACTTGTCTACGAAATTTGAAGCTAAAAAAAAACACTGAAATTTGCAAAGTATTTTGGGTAGGAACTCGAATTCTGGCAATGGGTTGGAACAGGCGTATCACGGAGTTCAATTCAAAAGGCGAAGCCATAGGTACAGGCAGGGCGTACAGTAAAAACTGGGACTTGAGACATAAAGGCGACATTAGCTCGGCTGCCATACGAATACCGCAAACTCTCGTAACGGCCGATTTCGACGGTAGCATTGTGATGTGGAAATTGGAGACTGGGCAGCCGTACAAAAAATACAACGTTTCAGCTCCTACAGTCAGGATAAAAATTGATTATAAATTGCCAAAACATAGAACATCAATTGTCGTCGATGATGAAGCTATAGATGGTAAATCTACCAATTTGTTGACGAGATTCGTACCAAAAAGAATGTCAACTTTTAGTCTGGATGGTAGATCTCATGATCATCATGATCATCATGAAAGAAAAGCAGCCAAAATGTCCATGGTGGTACGCTAATAAAGAATTAGTCAAAAATGACTAGTTTTGAAAAAGCATGCAGTGGTGCACAGCAATTTGTATCCTAGACATTTATTCTTATGTAAAATTGTCTGCTAGATCCGAAAATGTCGCCAAAAATTAAAAAAGTAGAGCAGTTTTTGAGATATAGTCAATTTCATATTATTTGGAAAATTTACTTTTATAACTTTTGACGACATTTTCGGATTCAGCAGACAATTTTATATAGGAATTGACTTAGTGGTTGCTTTTTCGCTTTGACAATTAGTAATTTTTGACTGATTCATTTATAGAGAGTAGAATATAGTTTTTTTCATAACTGACTTTGTTCTTTAACAATACCCAAATTAATGATTACCTACTTATGTACCTACCCACAATCGTTCTATTAACAGGTGATTTCAAATTTTTGCAAAGAAATTTGAATATACCGGGTTTCTTGATGATAAACAACAAATGGAACGTAAAAAATGCACGTATACTAAAAGTGAGGAGCAGACTTCCAAAATGATTAAACTTTTTAAAAAAAGGTGGCTTTCTGTTCTTGAAACTAAGGCGCATCTTCTCATGTAAATATTCTGCGAAAGTTGAACTGGACAATCCCAGACCGCAAAGTACAATTCCCAAGTTATTCCAAGAATATTTTTTGGAATATTCTAAAACTCCTAGAATATTCTGAAAAATAGTTCTTGGGCATGTTTACAGGAATATTCCTTAATTAAATTCAGAAACATTTCTAGATCAATATAATGAATCTTTTACGGCATCTTCTGGGATTATTTCTCAAGTATTTTATATTTATTTCAAAACCCTCATAAGGAATATTCCTGATAATAGTTCTCTAATGGTCACTCACACATATTTGGCTATATTTCAGTTAATTTTAATTATGATGTAGTCGGGTCGAATCTTCGCTGTGCCTTTGGGCACTTCCTAAAAATGTCTAATTAGTTGTATTGAAATAGCCACGCTTTTGAAGTATTTAGGTTAGTAGTCAATAAACAAAATAATGCGTGTTATAATATATAATTAGATACTACAAATTACTTAAAAACATAATAATTTTTGACAACAAAGGGTACAAACTGTAGCGCTACCAATAAGACGCGAGGGGACCAGCCAAATGGCCAATAGGAACGTGAAGTACTAACCATATGATATGATGAACCATATGATATGATAGGAGAATATTTCCAGAACAAGATGGTTTATTCCTGGACGAATAAGAACATTAGTAGTAGATTCAGACGGAATGTAGGTACCATAAATATTCAAAAGAAATATTTCCAGAATATAAAAGTAGTTCTGGAAGATTTTCACGGAATATTCTATTAATATTCGCGGAATATTCTATTAATGTCCGCTTCGGACAATCAAGCATCTTTTTCGGATTTTTGAAATTCTTATGGGATAAAATTTTTTGAGGTTGATTTATTATTAGAGGTGTTTTCCAAATTTACTGGCATCTTGAATTCTGCTCAAAATATATCAGTTACTTCACACCAGACTCCTGGGTTTCCTGAAAATTATCCCATTTGGACAAAACGCATTTTGGAAGTCTGTTCCTCAAATGTTAATGTTTAGTAAAACATGTGTAGGTATACCATTTAAATGTTTGAATTTATTAAAAAAATATAATCTAAACTAATTTTCATCAAGCCAGTGCCAAAGGAACTGGTCTCTTTAAGAGTACTGGCAGTGCATTGCATGATATTTCTCAATAAGAGAGAAATGGACCCCGAAGTAGGAACATTGTTAGTTTCTTTGGGGAATGGAACCATCCAAATATGGTCCCATGATACTCTGGGCGCGTTTATAACGTCTTTCTCGTCCATACACAAAGCTGGAGATTATGTTTTGTCTATGGCTACCGACGAAGACAACGAATTTTTATTTACAGGTATTTAACATGTTTATATACATTAGATTGGGGGACTATTTTTTTTGGAAAGTATATCGAAAATATTGTTTGGGGTGACAAAAAAAAATTATGGTGAAAGTTTGAGTCCATAATATTAATATTAAGAGGTCTATCATCGCAATTTTAGATTTTTTTTCCTGAGCGAGTTTTTGTCTCAGAACTCCCAAACCATTGAGTTTAACCCAAACCATATCTTCGATATACTTTTAAACAAAAATAGTTGATTTTTTTGGCCAACCTAATAAACGTTTCTACACTTTCCAATTAAATGAACTATTAATTTCTTTAATTTTCAGGTCACTGTTCGGGATACATCAAAACATGGCTACTTTTAGACCTTTGCGTTAAAAATCCACCGCATATTTGTCTTCCAAAGTACAGATTACGTTTTCCATACATGTGGACTGGAATAATTCGGGGAAGTGCTTGCAGAAATTTGACACCATTGGACAGACCCATTTTATTAAATTCTTACAAAGGACATTTCCTTCCGATATCTTCTTTGGAATATATAGATGAGGCGCGAATGCTTATAAGGTACTCATAAAAGTCCTTTGCGTTAGATAATCTTAATTTTCAAGTGTTTGAAACATAATTCTCGAGTAGGTACCTAATATTGTTTTTAATTTTTTTTAAGTGGTAGTTCCGATCGCAGCGCAAGGCTGTGGACATTAAGTGGAAGATTTCTGCAAACTATCGGCAGTTTTAAGGGATGGAAAAAACTTCCTTATGCGCAACCAGTTATAGAGGGAGAATTTGAGTTTACTGTACCAGCTGACTTGAAACGAATTTTGAGTTCAACATCTTTTAGGGTCATTCTAATAATTTTTTTTTTATCAAGACTTTTAATGGTAATGGATTTTTAGGTTTTAAGTGGTGGCTTTTTGGAGAGGAAAATGACAAAGAAACAAATTAAAGGAAGAGCTGAGAAAGAAAGGGCTGCAATAGACCCAGGAAAGATCTATGGGAAAGGTATAAATAAGCCCATCCTTGGTCATTATTATCAATTACCTGAAAGGGTTACAATCTATAGGGATGTTCAGTTTGATTGCTCGCTACCACATGTAAGAAATATAAAAAATGTAGACATTTTAAATCATGTAACATTTGTAGATTCCTGTTTACACACATCTTAAAACTCCTGAAGTTAAAGAGGTCAGCCTCTCGGAGAAGAAAGTTATTTCTATTCCAGAGCAGCCCTAAATGTTGTCATCAAGAAATGATAATAATAATAGAAGGAAGCTGAAATAATTTACCTTGTGAAATGTAAAACCAAGTAAAGTAGTATTAACAAAATTTTGTTTTAATCGATATTCTAAACAAAATAGTTTAGTGGATTTATGCAGAACAAATTAATTATTTCATTATAATGTTTGTTTAAAAAAGATATATCGTTTGGAATTTTTTGTTGTCTGGCATTGTTTATTTCTTAGTTAAACTGGTTTTGCCGTCAGCTGGCAAATTCAGTATACAATATATTGACTAAGGAACTACTTCACTCAACGATATTGTCATCAGAAGATTTGGGTAAAGGTTTCTTCTTGTTTGACTTGATGGAGTTTTGGCCAGCTTCACTAGATGGCGTACTTATTTTAATTTCAAGGTTTCTTCTTGTTTGACTTGATGGAGTTCTGACCAGCTTTACTAGATGGCGTACTTATTTTAATTTCACATATACTTACGTAAGTATATGTAATTTCACATATACTTACTGTGTGGTAAGTACAGTCCGTTCAGGCTAAGTTGAGCGCTTTGGTAGGGGATCATGTGGCCGTTGATTAAATTAAATATCGAATGGTCGCGAGATTTCGGTGACAAGAAGATGATTTATCAGTGCCGCGGCTTGCCGTTTGTTCATACAGAGGGGCTACCAAAATACATGTATTTAATTGTGCCTGAACATAGAGATAATGGACGGCTTGACATTCCTTAGACCGCTCAACTTAGCCTGCACTCTTAGAAAAGACCTGGTATTTGCAATGAAAATTTAGTTCCCAGAACCAATTTTATTAGTGAAAATAGGCACAACAAAAAAATATGTTGTGGGAACTAATACAAATTTGTTTTTACAGTTTGTTGTCGGAACAGCCAATTTTGGTAGCTCCAACCAACAAGTTTAAGTGCATCGAAATTAGTTTTTTTTTCATACAAATAATTGATATTTAATGCAATCACATTAGTCTGTCATTTTAGCAGCGTCTAAGTTGTAACAACTGCACTTGCTATTTATCGCAACAAACATTGTATCATGCAGGAATTTATTTTTTAATTGAAATTACATGAAAAAAGGTACATTTAAGGAATTTAATAGTTGATATAATATAAATTTGTTTTGTACTGTTACTAAGTTATATTTAATATTAAATGCTTGCATTAGTAGCAACAACAAATTGGTATTATTCCACAGTACATACCTGCTTAGTAAATATAACACTTTTTGTGTAAATATTATAAAAAATAGAGAAAGGAAATTCATGCCCGTTCGTTTTATAAATATTTATTATAAATTAAAAAATAACAATATAACTGAAAACACCAAATTTTGGTTTTGGTTTGGTTTAAACATTATAACAAAAATTAATAATTAGAAAACATTTATAAATATTTTAACAATAAATCAAAAACGATTATTTGGTAAATATACACAGATAGGTACATTAAGATGAAAGTTGACTATACTTCTTCAGTAAACCGTGATGTTTACGTGAAGTGCAAGCCTTTGTTTAACAACTTAACAATGATTCTTAGGTACAACGTAACATACTTGCATGATAACAGGGGATAAATTTTGAGTGTGAGTGCCTATAGTATAGGCCCTATACCAAAAATGCGACTTGAGCTGTAACAAAACAAAACAAAAAAATTCTCGTAATTCCGACGTGATGGAGACTTTTGGTGGGCACCATTGGATTCAGGAGGCCATTTTCAGTCGGAATGGAATTTTCTCATTTTTTGATTTTTTTTCGGACCCTAAAAACTGGAACCAATTCAGGTAAACCCCATGTTCCTAATAAATCTGCTACTTCAGTCCGCTCATCCATATTATTTGTTCGAGATATCTATAAGTAACCAACACATAAGAATATATTCTTATATATATGAATAGTTAAAAAGTATGTCGCCACTGAATTTACAGGGGCAAATGACTAATTGTAATAAACTAGTTTCTTACCTAAAATATACACTACACACGAGCTGATACACAAATACAAAAGAACAAACACCACCGAAGTCTGGACGCCGTGCAACACCGTTTGTTTACAGGTTAAAAGTAAAGCACGCGCCGGGCTGGACAAATCGCGCGCGAAATGCACAAAGTTTGCAGTTGCATTAACCTACAGAGACAACATCCCCAACTGATACTTTGTTTCACACCGCTGGTGTCTTAGCTGTGTGAAAAGTGACGCATAGTTTATACAACTGAACCGTTAGTTCCACGGACTAATTTCAGTCAGTTGAGAATGTTACTTAAATATTTGGTCCAACAAAAACATTTTACCGCCGAAATGATTTTTTTGAGATAATGTTGTCAATAATTCTAGCCAACACAAAGTTTCAGTTAAAATAACTTAATCGCCTTTTTGCAGTAAATAATACTCAACAACAAAACTAAATCTTTTCAGGTAATGATGCAAGCAGTTACACATATAAAGGTACTGATTACAAAAAACAAAAAATTTTATTTTCTGCAACAGTTTTACCCCAACGATAATAAGTTAGTTACAAATACCAGGTCTTTTCTAAGAGTGTGAACGGACAGTATATGTAATTTCAATTGTAAAGTTAATATATATATGTGTTAATTAAAAATATGTGTCCATTTTATGATTTATTATCTATGGTCCATTTTTATCCATGATACAATTTGATACCAAATAAAAAGTTGAATTTGGGGCTGACAAATTTTTTGATGAAAATTATTTCAAATTTTTAAATGAAAGTCGGTATCTGAGATATTATTTTAATTCTAAACAACTTTTCTTAATACATTTTTGCTGTAACATTAACGCAAAGCAAAAAATTGACAAATTAAAAGTTGACATTTGGGATTGACAAATTTATGGGTAAAAATTAAAAATACGAATTTTTAAACAAAGGTTGGTATCTGGGGTATTCTTTTGATTCTAAACAACTTTTCTTAATAACTTTTTGCTATAACTCTAACGCGAAGCAAAATTTTGACAATGTGACCCATGTTTTTGATCGTAGTAGGCCAGGCTGATAACGTATTTTGCGCTTAAGGAAGTGAATAGATGCCTCTTGGTGAGCTGCACACCTGATAAAAAATTCAAATCGATTCATACAAAAATAAAGAAAATACAGGGGTGCTTTGAAATTGTTTGCATTTAACATTGAGGCTTATGTGAAATCACCGTTTAGATTCTATTCAAAATTAATAAATTGAGAGAAAATAATATATTAAACATTTAAGACACATAATTACTGCTTCAAAACATGTAGTAGTAATAATAATTATCAAGTATTGTTAAATAACTGTCAAAAATGCTCTATTTTCCCTCTTTTTCTGTATTTCTTAATATTTACAGACTAATTCTTTCTACCTGATTTAACTAAGGCATTGACTATACAATTCTGTAAAGAAATAATGAGGAAATATGGAGTGCTAGAATGCGACCCAACAGAAGTATTTACAGCAATGTTACTGTTCCAGACTTCTGCAGACACTAAAAATCATTTATCAAATTAAAAATAATATAAATTATTTAAGGAATACTATAGGCCAAGCTCGAGTCCAATGCTAATAGCAATCGAAAACTAAGCAGCATCAAACCTAGATTTAACCGATTCCATTGATACTTTTGCGAAAACTAAGGCTAGGAAAGGATTATAAACTAAATTGTTATTTTGTTGTCAGTATACACATCAGTATAGAAGGTAGGTCTGACTTTCATATACGAGGTGTGTTCAGAAAATAACGGGAATTGTTAAATTTCGCTGGTTCAGAGGGTCCGGTTGACATCAAAAAAAAAATTATTATGTTGGTATACATGCCCCCGAAGTATGATAAAAACTTTAGCTGTTTTCATTGTTTACTTTGTATGTGGCAGCCGCTAAGGTTAGACGTGTTTTATGAACTCGGCGATTTTTCGTTCGTTAAAAGAAATGGATCAAAGAATTTGTATCCAATTTTGCTTAAAAAATAAAATAAATTCTGTGAAATGTTAACAAAGGCCTATAGTGAGTCTGCTATAAGTAAAACAAGAGTTTACAAGTGGTATAAGAGTTTCCAAGATGGCCGTGAAGACGTTGAAGATGACGAACGCCCCTAACGCCCAAGCACATTAACAACCGATAAAAACATGGAAAAAGTGGAAGAATTGGTTATAAACCATCGGAGAAGTCGCTGATGATGTTGGTATATCGTGGCTCATCCCATGAAATTTTTTCGAATGTTTTGGGTATGAAACGCGTGGCAGCAAAATTTGTTAAATTTTGAACAAAATTTTTGGCCAAAAACAATACTGTAATGATGCCCTAGCCTCCATATTCGCCAGACATGCCTCTGTCTGATTTTTTCCTATTCCCAAAAATAAAGAGAACCTTAAAGGGCCGTCGTTTTGCAAGCATAAATGACATTAAAAGCGCATCGCTGAAAGAACTAAAGGCTATACCAAAGATCGAGTTTTAGAATTGTTTCGAGTATTGGAAGAAGAGCTTGCACATGTGCATAATATCCAATGGGGACTATTTTGAAGGCGACAATATTAATGTAGACAAATAAATAAATATTTGTTTCAAAAAACAAAAATTCCCGATATTTTCTGAACACACCTCGTAATAACTGGAAGAGACCCCTTAAGGGGATGTTTGGCTTTGTATATGACTTATCTGTATATAAATTGTTTTATGTACAATAAAGTGTTTTACATACATACGTGCATAAACCTTTTGATTTACTTCGTTTTATTGCTTAATACCAATATTATTAATCCAAGTATACGTTTCTAAACTAAAGCTCACACAACGTGATTAGTGCACGATACAGAGCTAATGATAAACTAGTAGCTTTGTACCTTTAAAGTATTTATGCTCTCTTAAAATGAAATACTCAAAACTCCATTTGAATTAGTAACAGCATTTTTTACTAATAAAATAGGCGTTTTCACTTTTAAATAGTTATTTTTTTACTACTTAAATAGTTAAAGTTTGACTAATTTAAGATTATTCACCATCTTTGACTATTTCTGAGAGTTCAAAGTAACTAATTTCATTAATCGTTTG